GATTATAAGAACAAATTTCCATATACCCAGAGAAAACAAGAATTTTGTAGCAGTTGTAACTTGTCTTCATCACTTTTTATTATAGCTGGGCCATACACTTGCGCAGTATAAAACCCTTGAAATTATAAGAGCATCACACAATAGCATTTTCAGTTCACTGTTTAATGTATTTCTTTGAGGTAATATTTGTTTATATTATTTTGAGCATAATTCTTTAATGTAGAAATCAAATTTTAATTCATTGTCCAACCATAACCCAGAATTTTTGCTAATGGTTTCAATTGGTAATATTGCGAAACAATCTCATTTTCTAAGTTTTTCGCGATTATATGACTTCCTCGTCAGTGATTTTGACAGGCAAAATCAGCTAGTTTTCTATCTTTATTCAGAGATCCTACAAGCAGTTTTTTTATTTTTTGAATTGACTCCAATCGACGTGACCAGCATTTGTATTTTTCAAATGCTCTCTTTTAAACTGGATCAAGTAAGTATGGTCTAGTATTAGTGGATGTAGCAGTTCCATCTGACAACCTGCTGATCTATCTCACCATCACAAAAAAAAATATTATTATATTATTATCTGTTTCTATTATACATTTGGGGGAGCTACATTTTCTGACCAAAAAGGAGCTCTGAATTTGTATAATTGTGATGATCCATGCTGCAATAGTACAGTATCACTGAAATAAATGCACATACTGGGCAAAAGCAGTGAGATGGTTGATCAAGATGAGAACGTCCAATCATTCTAAACGAGAGTTTTTGCATAATTTTGGGATGCTTTTGGCACAGTTTTTTCAATAGCTCAGACAGAATATAACTTGGGATGTTCTAATATTCTATGCTAAGAAACAACTTTAATTGACACTTTTCTGAGAGTCGTTAAATAAAAATAGATTTTAATATCTGGTGAAAGCTGAATATCAAAAAGCTTTGATGTTTTTGTTTGAAAAACGTCGATTCGGACTTAAGAAAACTTCCAAGTTCAGCCATGAAGGCATAAAGTCATGATGAGGCATACATTGGTTTTCAAAAAATTGCTTTAATCAAAAGTTTCGTATGAGGGAAACTTTGTGAAAGGGAAAGCGTTACAAAATTATAAAATTCTGTTATTTCTAATACATGTTAACCTAAACAGAAACATATTTTTCAATTTATGTCGGCTTCCTAAATACTCTCTGTTATAATGATTTTAACTTAAAAACGCTGTAGAATTTAAACAAACAAAAAGGAAAGTAAAGCTGCATTCATAAAACAAACAAATAAACATGGAAACAGACATTTTTTAATTTCTAACCTTCCTATTTATCATTAATCTTATTTTCGGTCTACTTTTACTTTCTACATCGATTCCACTTAACCAAAACACTTGTGTACATATGATTAATTCATCAACATATTAAGCAGGGAACTATGTTTCTATGAATAGGTGTAGTAGTTACCATCAATCAAAACATCTGCAAGCTGAATAGCTCACTTGACTAATTTTATCTTGTTTATACAAGTTCGTGAATCACGATTTAAATGTTAATGCATGCTCTTATGAGGCGTACCTCGATTGCGTTTGTGTATACAGAAAGGTATCGAGATTAGATAAGTGCAGATGTTTATACGCGAGCTATATCAGACTGCAGACTAACGTATTTTAGTTGTAGGATTCGCGGTTTCTTGTTGTTATCGCAAAATGATTCGTGTTGAATCATATTCAGCCTTTCAGCGTTAGACAATAGCTGCATATTAACTTTCACGTGTTTTAAGTAGCTAGTGAAAAATAGTATCTGAACGAAATGAGAGATTCCTTAGATTTGTCATTTTATTCTCTGACATTTCTGGACACATAGCGGATTGGATTCGGACTCGTACATAGTTAACCTATGAAGGAAATTCTCAAGCTAGAAAAAGAATTATATACCCTATCTGTAGTCCATTTACGCTTCGGCACAACAAAGATGTAGCGCGGCAAAGCGGCAGCCGCCTAAGCGTTGCAATAGCTATTGGTCATTGGGACATAAAACTACAAATGAGTGCTGGATTAGACAGGATAGAACTCAGGCTCGGAGTATCGCCGGCACGCCGACGCCGGCAGTTGCTGTTCATATCCGGTGCATACATAGCGTGTGTCTATACGTTAGGGGGGCCGAGTGATACCTTATTGTAAAGGTCTTTCAATTCCTTTAAAATGATATAAAATTAATGTACTTCAGTTCAGTAGTTTTGAAGATTTATTGATTTAAAGCTTAAATAAAACTAATACATCATCATTAGTGGAGATCAATACATTTGGCAGCAAAGTAATTTAAAAATGAAGAATGAACTGACCCGTTAGGCAAGTAAATGTTGAAAATGGCTACCATGACTCTCCATGCAATAATAAAGATTTTGCTCAAAACGTTGCCGCACATTTTGCAATATTTGAGGAGTAATTTGAAGGCACTCATTCACAATTCCTTGTCGCAGGTCTTCTAATGATGTTGGCTGAGTAGCATAGATTTTGCGTTTTAAATTACCCCACATAAAGAAATCCAAAGGTAATAAATCTGGCGATCTTGGGGGCCATTCAATGGCACCTCCTCTACCAATCCATCGATCTGGAAAAGTCTGATCTATATATTGTCGAACACGTAATGCGTAATGTGGTGGGGCACCATTCTGTTGGAACATCAACCTATTCGCAATGTACCGCCGATCATTCTGATTTTCAATTATGGCTGTTAATGCAGGATCTATGGCGTCTTCCATTAATTCCAAATACATTTCACCGGTCAAATTTCCAGGTAAGAAAAAAGGACCAAGTAAATGATCGCCAAAAATACCAGCCCAAACATTTAATTTTTGTGGCTGCTGTGTATGAACCTCATGATAAATTCTGCGATTAGAATCGGACCAATATCGGCAGTTATGACGATTTACTACGCCATTTAAGAAAAAGATTCGTCGGAAAAGCAAGTGTTGAATACAAAAAGTTCATCGTTTATAATTCGTTCACTCATATCTTCACAAAATTGTAATCGCCGATCAAAATCCTCTTCATTAAGTTCTTGTACCAGGTGAATTTTATACGGATGATAACTATGGGCCTTTAGAATCCGTTGGACAGTACGTCGACTAACACCACACATAGTCTCCAATTTGCGGGTACTTAACGTAGGATCTACATAAACTTGCCTAAAACCCCCAGTTTTATTGCTTCGTTCCTTATGGGATTTTCAATGTTGCGTTTTTTATTGGCGACTGACCCAGTTTCCCGAAATTTAGCTACAAGTTCTAGAACATATTTTGGATGCACGTTACTGCTCTAATGTCGCTCACTAAATATTTCTGCAGTTCTATTAGCGCACTGATTATTTCCGAAAAAGATTTCGATAATTTCAACTCTTTCTGCTGTGGAATATACCACGGTTAATTTAGGTATGTAATAAACCGTTACAAGTTATTTTAGGAACAAAGTTTGGTCAAATCAATCGCAAACTATGTACTAAATTCATATTTAAAATAAGTACGAGATATTTCCTTATCTTTCTTCAAGAAATAACTTTTTTGCAACAAAAAAACGCTCCAATAGCTATTTTCAACAACAAAATGATAAACAAACCATGGGCGTAGTGAAGAAAAGCATTTACTTATTAAGTAAATTCTTTTAGTCAAATTTCTTCTGAAAGTAGTACAAACTAAACTGATGTACCTATTAAAGTCAACTTTAAGCTTTAAATCAATAAATCTTCAAAACTACTGAACTGAAGCTCATGTGTTTTACATCATTATAAAGGAAATTGAAAGACCTTTAAAATAAGGTATCACTCGACCCCCCTTTCCGTTTAAGATTTTAGGGTTGGTGACACCCCCGCCCAGGGGGCTGCACGTGTTAACGCCTTTTTTTGCCAAACTTGTGTCTCCCTCGAAAACAAAGTCGACGGGTCTGAGCGTTTATCCAAAAAAACTGAGCTGCCAGTAAATGCGTCTGTTTCGTTTTCGATGCGCCACCCTGTATAATATATTATACATAGTCTTAATGACAATTACAAAAATAAGGGAATACTTGCATTCAAGAGAGCCATTAAGAACCATCTTCTGGGGTCTGCTAGCCAAGCTGGCTGATATATATTTTTTTTGTCTATATTGTTTTTTCTTTGTTAGAGCGCGCTTTGTAGAATAGATGTACAACATATTAAAGATTAATCTATTTAAGCCTTAATTATTGTATATATTATTTAGTCGATTGCTATTCATTGTTATATCTGTCCTTTTGTATGTGTTCCTGCGCTGTGAGGTTATGTGCTGGAGTAGCCAGCTGGCTAAACTTCGTCTCGCAGTGTGGATGGATTAATAAAGACATTATTATTATTATTATTATTATTATTATTATTATATAAACAACTATGAGGCTTCAAACAAAGAACATTCAAATTTTCTGACGTGAAAAATTTGTTTCATGAAGCTGTCAACAGACTGATGGCAAACCATTGGAAAGATTGCATCCGGCACATTCAAGAGACAATCGAAATAAAGATGTGGGATCTGGACAATATGATCAATATTCAAATTGAACCTGTAGTAATTAATGTTAACCATTCGGACGATGATTTAAGCACTTCCAGCGAATAAAGAATTGTGAAAAGTATGTGCACTTCTTTCTATAAAAAATGATATTTTGTTAGACTATTCCAAGACCTGTACAGTCTCGCTTTTACCTGGGCGTAAATGGACTACGAATGGGGTATAGTCATCTTTTGTTTGCTCGCAATCATGAACTTTTTTTATATCGAATATTTGATAGGCATTCGTGGGAGAGTACTAAGTTTTGTGTCAATCGGATTTCGCTTAAACTGAACTGAATGATTTCTTTACTTCCCACGCCTACTGGCAAGGAAATATTGTAATAGACATAACTGAATCAGGTTGCTCAATGAGAACCAACATCCCACATTTATTTTTTACCAAAAGCACCTCTCCGCCCCTGAGTGCATATTACCGTTGTCGGCATATTGCATTGCATGTCACCCTCATCGGTCTTCGGCAGCACATATCCCACCACCTGGAGCACACCGTACTTCCCTTCCCCTGCCTTCCAGGGGATCCGGGGCCCTCGCCGTTTCGACGTCGTGACGCCCGCCGATCTAACCGTGTTCTCTGATCATTATGACTCAAGATGACACGGTAGTCGCGCGCGTTCTAAATGCAAGCACGGAACTGCTATCGCGAACGGGATATACCACCGGGCAGTACTGAACGCAGAGATTAAACGTGCGATACTTCTGTGGATGCAGGGATTTGAATTGTTTTGAGGGATTTTTTCATATCCAGGAAGGTTTAGAAGAAAGTACAGTTTGTTCGATCATTGCAAGAAGATATATGGTAAGCATCAGATATTAATTTTGTTAGCAGACTTTTCTTCTAGATCCAAATATAATATCTCTGTTTCCCTTCCTCCCGTGGACTACCCTTTCGTATTTTATTTTCCTCGCTAACATACATGTGTAAATGTATTTAGGGTGAGTTTTTGGTGGGGGTTTTCGTTATTGAGCATGGTAACTGAAACAGTAATGACAAAAATTGTAGCCAGTGTATCCTCCTTACTCGGAAAATATTTTTATTTCTACAGGGCGATTCACAATTACGTGGTGATTCAAACATACATTTTTTTTCATATGAAAATGACATTTTGCGCAGATTTGGATAGACCATTCCAATCGAAGCAATTTGATATAACATACTATAAGGTTCCATTTTTAAAATCATGAGATATTGAGAAAAACACTCAACTTTGACAACCCGCACCTCCGCAAACGTTATAGCTAGAATACTGAATTTTTCGCCGGAACAATTTTATGTTCCCACACTTTTCTCCTATCGGCTTGCTTTTTAATCTTTTGTTTAGTTTATACAGGGTGGTCAAAAACGCAGAATCAACAATTTTTCAAAGTTTTCAAATGGAACACCCAGTATATTTTCTCACTTTTTGATTCCCCTTTTCACAGGCTATTTTCTGATATGAGGTTTATGGGTTTGCGTACAACTGGTTTCTGAGTTACTAAAAACAGAGAGACACCTCATTGACTTTTCGACTTTATTGCATAAGTCTAGGTAGACTTAATTTATATAAGGAAAATTCACAAACGTTATTCATCTGCCATTACTAACTGAATGCTATTTTTGTTTTGAGATGTGTTGTAATAAGTTTCATTTACCTTGATATCCGATTTACAAACTCCAAAACAATTGATACAGACTCCCATAAACCTTATATCGAGAAAAATCTCGTAAAAAGGGGATCAAAAGGTGCGAAAATGTACAGGGGGTTCTGTATGAAAATTTTGAGAAGTCGTTCATTTTGCTACAGTCTATCGAAAATATCCACTGAAACAGAAAGTAGAGAGGAAGGGACTATTAAATTCTTCTGACGAAAACTTCAATAGTCTAGCTATAACAGTTTCGGAGGTACGAGTTGTAAAAGTGTATTTTTTTCAGATAGAATGCCAAATATGTGAACAATTTCGGAACTAAACCGTATACTATGTTACAATAAATCGCTTCGTTTGAAAGGGCCTATCTGAATCTGCAATAAAATACAGGTGTTTTCATTTAAAAAAATGTATGTTTCGGTCACCACGTACTTGTACCTGTAGGAATAAAAATATTAACCAAATAAGGAGCTACAACTTTTGTAATTACTTTTTTAGATACTATGTAATATCGGAATTATCGACCGAGGACGATACAAAATATTAAATGAAAGTTTTATTCTTTAATGTTCTTTCAATTAATTCGGAATTATTGGAAGCAAACTTCTGTACCGGTGGGATTCGAACGTGCATCTGCGGTATTGATGCGCGATCGCGGTGAAAAATTCTGGAGAGGCGGTATGAGTATTATCTATCATCCCGCTGTCTATATTGGATAATGGCAGGCGATTTTTTTCGTTCATCACCACTTGAGCTTGAATAAAAACATTCCTCTATACCAATCGAGATTCCTCGGTATTTAGGTTCTGCTGTCGCGACCAGTCCAGTATTTAAAAATCTATTACTCAACACGAAAGGCCAAAATCCATTAGAAAACACTTTTAGCAGAATTGAACGGTGATAAATAGTGCCTGCAGGACCTACGTCGTGAAAATGTCGGATCGAAGTTCAAAACGACAGCTTTTAACATAGCTACATAAGAAGTTAGTACAGGATAGTCACTCAAATTCGTATTTGAAACACGAAAATGTTGGGACTTTATTATATTTTTTAAACTGTCTCACACAAAGTCTATTATTTGAAACAAGAGAACGTATTCAATGTCATTGAGCATTTCAAATGTATGCGGGGAATAAAAGAAATTATAATAAAACTCTGCAAACTACTCACAATAGTTTGTTGTCCTAAATATAGCCTCCTATTTTCTTCTTATACAGGGTGTTTCAGAACTAAGGGATCAAACTTCTAGGGGTTATTCAGTGTAACAGTTGAAAACATTTGAATATAGAGACCCATATCCGGAAAAGTGTCACTACGGCACTACGGTCCTAAGACGCGTTAAAATTTAGAAAGACGATGTATTTCCTAAATAGGATGTAATGCATTTATTTTTTTCCTTTTGTAGATGATATCGTCACAAAATTTGATCTAAACGTCGCACATGATTTCGGCGGTCTTGACTAAAGATTTGATACTCGTTTTGAATGATTTCAAATGCTACTGTAGTTCGTCCAATTAAGTCTTGCTCTGTTTCTACTGGAGTTTCATAAACCGAAGACTTTGCATGTCCCCACAGGAGCGGTGTATTCAGGTTGGAGGGAGACATTTTGAACAATTGTTGTGATGATATCATATACAAAAATAAAAGGCATTAATTCCTATTTAGGCAATTTATCAACTTTCTAAATTTTAACGCGTCTTAGGGCCGTAGTGCCGTAGTGACACTTTTTCGGATATGGGTCCCTATACTCAAATGTTTTCTCCTGTTACACTGATTAACCCCTACAAGTTTGATCCCATAGTTCTGAAACAGCCTGTATACCTATATGGATACAGTTGCTATTTTGAACTTGGATAACTGACTGGTGACAGAAAACTGATCAGGTCCCATGGGCCCTTTTTATCATCAACTATCGACTTCGCAGGTACCAATTCAATTTCACCGAACGTGTTTTCCCATCGCTCCTGAGCAGAGGATTTTCTGCGTCAGTGATTCATGATTGTTAAGTTTGTTGGAAACAGTTCTAGTTCTAAAATTATTAAAATTATCGTCATTCCCATCTGATAGCTACAATTTTCAACGAAATATCCATGTTGCCCAGTAAGGCACATGGCAGTGCACTGGAGAGAACATCGAGATATACTTTAACATTAAATACTAACAAAGCTGTTGACGTCGCAAATTGAATCTAATATCGCTAATAAATGGTTAAGCAATAATGCGTATTATTTTACCTGATTAGTATTTAAATTTTTGATTACACACGTATTTCCACAATAATGAGCAATTCCAAAGTCCGTGCTATTGGATATTTAGAAATACCACTTAGAGAATTAAATTCTAAATATTTTCCGGCGATTTATCTGATTCGTTTTAATGCCGCTGGCGAAGACGCATATTATGAGTTTATAAAATGAGATACATTGACGTTTCGACTGTCTTTACAATATTCTCCCTGCAGACATTCGTCAGAAAATTTCTGACAAAAGAGCTGCAATTAAGCAAGCGAAGAGGTCTTGTCACCCAGATGACATTCACAGAGCAACGAATCTTGTTCATGAAGTGAGAAATGCTCTTCATGAATTCCGTAATGAGCAATGGAGCGACTTTCTGTCGGGGATGCTTGACTCAAGTATCTGGAAAGTTGCAAAGTCGCTCAGAAACGGAAAGCGAGAACAACTCCCGCACATCCACGGTCCTAGGGGCATAGTCTGTAAGACAGAGGAAAAGGTCGAGGTTTTCGCTGATGCAATGGAAAATGGAAAAACTATGACCTTGATAATGACCTCGACGAGGAGCAACATATTGTAAGATCCGTCAGCAGATATTTTAGGGCCAACGGCGTCAGTGGCAGTAGTGCCTCCCTTAGTGATTTTTCCTCAGAGGAATCTTCAGATGATTCCTCAATTGAAGAGCTGCACGGCACATCAGCGGAATCTCCTGAGACTCCGCATTGCACACCAGCAGAGCTCCAAGGTCATATTAAAGACCTCAAGGTGCGTAAAGCACCTGGAGAGGATCGAATCACTAATAAGGCGCTGAAGCTACTTTCGCGGAAGTCCTTAACTTATCTCGTGGCAATAATCAATGCCATGCTAAGGACCCAGCACTTCCCAACGGCGTGGAAGACCGCTAATGTCATAATGATTCCAAAGAAGGTGGGTTCGATATTTACTCAGGATTACCGCCCCATTAGTCTACTGTCAGCTCCTTCTAAGCTCGCTGAAAAGGTGATTCTACGTCACCTTGAAAATTTCCCGGCAGACCACAATGTGATTCCTGACGTGCAATTTGGCTTTCGGTCTGAGCATAGTACGGAGCTACAGGCCATAAGGCTTGTTGAACGAGTAACCAGCGGATTCACCCGTAATGTAAGTACTGGCATCTTGCTACTGGATGTCTCAAAGGCATTCGACAAGGTGTGGCACAAGGGTCTTCTCTACAAATTGATCCATAAGGGCTTCCCCTTCTGGCTCCTAAAACTTTTGAAATCCTTTCTCGAGGGTAGGAAATTTTGGATCAAAATTAATAACGTTCTGTCGACAACACGGCCCATCAAAGCCGGTGTCCCTCAGGGTTCGGTTCTTGGACCAGTCCTTTATTCACTTTTTATTCATGACGTCCCTTGCCCCAGCAGCTGTGAAACCTATCTCTATGCTGATGACACTGCCCTGGTGGCCCAGTTGTGCTCTGGGGATCTAGTTCACGACAGGCTGCAAAGTGCAGTGGACGATGTATTGGAATGGGCGAATCGGTGGCTGATCAAAATTAATCATTCGAAAACGCAGGCAATCTATTGTACTAAAAAACGTAGCGGCGCCCCGTCTGAGGTTTCAGTGAATGGAGCTCGGGTACCATGGGAAAGCTCTGCTAAGTATCTCGGTATCACTCTTGACAGGGGATAACCTGGCAGAAGCACACTGAAGCGTTAAAAACTAAATTCCAAATCTCGTTTCGGCAACTCTACCCTGTGCTACGTAGAACATCAAAATTAAGTTTGATCAACAAAGTTCGACTATACAAGATGGTTATTAGACCAGCGATCACTTACGCAAGTGCGGCTTGGTGTTTTCTCGCCAAAACGCATTTGCGTAACCTGCAGGTTTTGCAGAACAGAACCTTCCGTACAATCACTAACGCCCCATGGTATGTTTCCAACGAGACCCTTCACA